TTCACTCTGGCAAGGGAAGAATGGGGGAACACTGGCTGTCAAGTTTTCTTCTCCGTAGTCCTCATGAAATCTCAAGGGGGTGGTCTATCTACATAAAAGAGTGTGTAGTAGCGGTTGTGGCTGTTTTCAGCAGCTGGGGAAGAGCTAGACTTAGCTCCCAGAGGGAGCCCAAGCCGGTCAGAGATGGGCCCATCATTAAATACAGTCTGACACGCTGAGGGCTTCCTATCTGAAGTGTGCCCCGGATCTGCTGTGTCGGCATCGCCAAGAGCTTGTTCAAATGCAGGCTCTCAGGCCCTCTTCCTACGCCCAGTGAGCCGGAATCTGTGGGATCTTTTAAACCCAATCCCAAAGCGATTTCTATGCACTTTACAACTGGAGAAGCACTGCTCTATATAGTAGCTCTCCTAAACATCCTTTGCCTAAACACATGATAGCTACAGGTCTGTCCCCAAATGGAGCACAGCGCCTGCTCTGGGATTTGAGGCAGGTCTGCTTTTTATCCCAGTGTTAGCAGCTCCTTCAGAGCGTGCTATGCAGTGAGGGCCCATGTGAACCTGCCTGACTGAGGGCGTGAGATGGCAACTGCAGATTCAGGCTTCTGACCCTCAAAGGGTTCAGGTAACGTCACTCTGCAGCCTGTGGAACCCGGGGCCCCAGAGCACCCAAACATAGACTGGGTCACACACGTGATGAACTGTGAGAGGCCAGGTGAGGGCTAAGCCAAGCAGAGCGGCACATCTTAAACCCCCTTTCCAGAGGCTCCTTCTTGGGTCTGAATGAAACTGCCCCAGCGGAAGTCCCAGAGAGGTCACTTTTTTGCATCAGCTTTGAGATGCCTTGAAGTGCCGAAGTTGAGCCTCTAAGTATGTCCTGGGAGAATCCCAAGAGGACTCCCAATATGCTCAGCTCACCAGACTGTTCTTTCTATAACCCAGACAGAGCAAAGATGGTGGGTACCCACCAGGATATCAGCCCTCCCCATTACCAAAGCAGCACGCTCCAGTCTCGGGTACCTAACGTGGTGCTCTCCCCAGGGGAGGCCTTCTTGGACTCTGAGTGGGCCCAGAAAGAACTTGCCCCCCAAGGGGAGGGTGTCTGCACCACATGCAGGATCACTCACATGCTGCCTTCCCACCTACAGTCCCCTATCTGGTCCTCTTCGTGTAGCAGAGACCTGCGGGGCTGTGGAAGTCGCTTGCCTCTCTTCCGCCATCCCTCAAGCTGGGGCAGAAGAGCAGTTTTGTCTGAGTGGGCTGTGGAGGGCTTCAGATGGACAGCGAGGCCGGAAAACCGGACATGTACATTGGTGGCGAGAAGAGGAACCAAAGGAGGCCCAAGGCCTGGCTGTCCACTTGACCACCTGTCCACGCCTATCTTTAGCGAAGTCAGAGCACAGGGTGTCTCAGGGAGGAAGAGGCTTGACAAGTACCAAGCCTGGGTGATTGCGAGGGGCCTCTCCCACCTGGAGAGCCAATAAACAAAATAAACCAAAACAAACAGCATAAACAAAACCCAACGAAAGCAGCGGAGGCGGATGCCTTAGACTGCTCCCCCACCGTCTCCAGCCCGCTCTCAGGATCACCACTGAGGTGGGGTGGAGGTGGCCGGCGGCCACACCTGACCCCTGGCCTTCTTGCCTCCCTGCTTCTCCCACGGCCTCCAGCCACTTCCACTCTGCTGTTGCCTGCCCAGCCGGAGGCTCAGACCCCACCTTTTCCTTTGCAGACTGCACCCTGGGGGAGCCCCAGAATGGGGAACAGCTGAGGCAGAACTGCACCATCTACCGGCCCTGGTTCTCCCCGTACAGCTACTTTGTCTGCAAGGACCAAGACAGCTGCCTGGAGGCTGACAGCCTCCCTGAGGTGCAGATGGAGGGCAGGGTGGACAGCTGCCTTCCAGAGGATATGGCCGCCAGCATCTGCTCATCCTCTTCCTCCCCAGAAAATGCATGTCCCCGAGAGACCACCAAGAAACCCAAGCCCGGCCTGGACTGCACAGACCTGATTACATCCCAAGACATCCTGGCTGCCTCCAGGTGGCACCCGGCCCAGCAGAATGGCTACAAGTGTGCGGCCTGCTGCCGCATGTACCCCACTCTGCACTCGCTCAAGAACCACATCAAGGGGGGCTTCAAGGAGGGCTTCAGCTGCAGGGTGTATTACCGCAAGCTCAAGACCCTCTGGGACAAGGAGCAGAAGGCCCGGCCAGGAGACAGGCTCTCCTTGGGCGGTTGCCAGGCCTTGAAGTAGTCCCGCTGGACACCTCAGGTAAACAGGGGTGAGGCGATTTATGTCTCAAGAGAAATGCCAATAAATCAAAGCTAGTCACAGCCTCCTGTCACGTCTGCGGTTACCCCCCACACCTGCTGTCGGGTTCCATCTCCTTGGGCTAGTGATTGCCTAGCAACAGGCCCACTTCCCTGCTCCCACCCTCTCTTCCTCTTTCTTTTTTAAAGTTTATTTAATTCTCCTATGGGAGAGGCAGGATCCTCACACCAGGACCCACACCTCCAGTGTCTGCCAACCTTGATCACAGGGACAGATGCTCAATACATACAGGGAGGACCTTGGAGAACTGGGGACATTCCTGCATGGGCCCACATGAAAATGGGGACATTACCACTGCACCACCTCCTGATCCCCTTCCCTCTTCAAATAAAAAGAATACCTGAGGTTCAGGGATATCATCTAAAGCAGTAGTTTTCAAGACGAGGTGCCCAGACCTGCAGCATCAGCATCCCCTAGGAATTAGCAATGAGATGGCCAGGCCCCACAGGTGCCCAGACCTGCAGCATCAGCATCCCCTTCCTAGCAATGAGATGGCCTGGCCCCCTTCCCAACCTGGACCTGCTAAGTCAGAACTCTGGGGCCGAAGCCTGGTGGCCAGTGGTCTAGCCAGCCTTCTAGGGGACTCTGGATGTGCTCAAATGTGAGAACCCCTGAGCTAGGGGTGTGGCCTGCCGGGGCCGGGGGAAGTTTGGGTACCCTCTCCTGCTTGCATGGGGAAGGATCCTGCAGAGTGAAAGGCTGTGTCATGTTCAATCTCCTGCGGATAGAACGGGGACAACGAGCCACTCCACAAAAGGCAGTGGCTATTTGAGCTCTCTGCACAACTAGGGAGTCTTCGTGTGCCTTTTTGAGTCATGTCAAAATGGGAGGTAAACACGTGAAAACACTGCTTCCTACTAGTGACCGAGGACAGCCCCCCCTGTCCCCATTTCTGAGCAAACCTCACTGCCAATCTGACTCAGAAAGACAGAGGAGCACAAAGACTAGGTGAGGACTTCTATTCTGTCCATGATATGGTTAACAAAGAAGAAAAGCTGAATGGCTACAGGTGGGATTTATACCTCTGGCTTCACTACCCTGATGCCTCATCTCCTTCTAGGACCCCTGACACCAACCCGCTAGTCTCTGCCCCCACATGAGCTGGACTGCTGGGAGTGGCGAGCTCCCCTCGGCCCCCGGTGGGCTGACATCACTCTTTCTTAAACTTGACTTGTTCATGAAAAACGTGTATCATCAAATAACTGTGCATGAATTTCAAGTTATTTGCACGAAAATAAGCTTACACTTTCACTCTATTTTCCACGAACTTTCTGCAGTCCCATCATACATGCGGCCGTGCGGTGTCCCTGGATGGTGGTCATGAGCGCGCACAGGGAGGGGCACCTACCTTGGGTGAGGAGGCCGCTCATGGTCTCCCCACAGCAGAACCTGGGCAGGAACTAGCCCATCCCGTCTCCCGTCCCCAGCAACCCCTCCTCCAGGGCATGTGTGTCACAGGCACCGAACACGTCAGGGAAGGGAGCACAACCCGACAGCCCAGAACCACGCCGGAGCTCCAGGTATGTGTCCACTGCGGCCTGGTGGGTGTTCATGCTCAGTGTTTTCTCCCAGACGAGGCACTGTCTGCATTTCACACGCAACCTAGTGTCACCACATTCCCAGGACGTTCGTCAGTGCAGAGCTGAGGGAAGTTTCAGCACAGCAGAAAAAAGCACCACGAATGGCTGCCCTGACTAACAGGGCCACTGGACTGCCCCCGGCTTGCTCCCTGCAGGTGCTTTTTAATGCAATCTCACTCACTCTCCATAGTCGCTGGACGTGGCACATGATGTCCCGCTTTTACAGACGAGAAATCAAAATTCAGCTCAGCTTACTTGGCCAGAAATGGCTGAGGGCATGAGAACTGGTTTATCTGACCCTCCTGACTTTCCATCTGACCAAGTATCAGGCCTTACAAATCCTCCCTCTTCCCAGGGGCTACGAGCTCCAGCCAAAGTGATCTGGCTTCTGTCAAGTCTGCCCGGTGAGCTCCTGCAGCTCCTCATTCCCCTAAGCCGCCTCCTTTGCCAGCATCCCTCCTCCCTGTCACTCCTGGCCCTTACAGGGGAGCCACGTTCTCCTCTGTGAGCTGGGGTGCAAGGACACCACAACCTTCCAGGTAGAGATAGGGAGGGACGTGTTTTCCCTTGAACACAAATATTTCTGGAAATACAATGACATATTTCAGACAACTGGGGGGAGTCAGTGAAACTGTACAACCTTGATGATCCCCATTCATTGGAAAGTATCTAGGACATAGAGGATTAGCGTTTCAAAACACATGGAGTTGGAAGTGTCTATAAAAAACGGGTGTAGACCAGGGTTCCCCAACTTCAGCACTACTGACATTGGGGCTGGATAACTCTTTGTTGGTGGTGGTTGGTGGGGTGGGGGGCGGCCAGTGCACTATACCGGGGATCCCCCATCTTGGGGCCTTGGACCGGTCTATGGCCTTCTAGGAACTGGGCGCACAGAGGAGGTGAGTGGTGGGTGGGTAGGAGCGTGCGGCCTCGTCCGTATTTACAGCTGCCGCCCTTCGCTATTACCACCTGAGCTCCGCCTCCTGTCAGATCAGAAGGGCATGAGATGCTCACAGGCACATGGACCTTACTGTGAACCGTGCATGTGAAGGATCTAGGTTGTGCTCTCACACACCAGCCCCCATCCCACCCCCTTCCACCCAGGTCAGTGGAAAGACAATGGAAAAATCGTCTTCCATGAAACTGGTCGCTGGTACCGAAAAGCTTGGGGACCGCCGCACTATACACTGTTCAGCAGCGTGCCTACGTCCCATGCACCACGTGCCAGCAGCATCCCTTCCCTCACTGTGGCAACCAAAGATGTCTCCAGACACTGTCACATGTCTCCCGAGGAAGCAAAACCACCCCCAGTTAAGACCCCAGGTAGCGACTGATCCTGAGAGGCTGTAAATGAAGGCACCGCCTTCCCCCCTCCGTCAGGGAGCGTGTGGACTCTCTAAACCCCATTCCCTTGGGAACCATGTCACAGAGCTGATGCCACCTGGCTCAGGAAGTGGGAGGAAGTGGAGGGGGTGAGGAAAGGAGCAGGTGGAAAAGAAGAAGCAAGAAAAGACAATGGAAAAGCTTTTAGAAATAAGAAAGGTTTATTTAGCAAAAGCCACTAGGCTAGTGACAACATCCAGGGAGTAAGTGCACTTACATTAACAGAATCTTGTCCCAGAGAGTTGATCCAACAGAGTTAATGACACGACAGTCTCAGGAAGTAGATAGAGGCTAGGAGGACGCAGTCAAGCAAAGAGTAAATAAAAGGAATACAACGCCTAAATAAGGTCAGCGGAGAGGAGGGGGGCAGGAAGAGGCTTTACAGACAGCGTTGCTATTGGTGGGAATGTGAGGGACATCATCTTCAATCCCAGATGCAGTCCGTCTTGTGCAGAGAAATTCTTCCCTGGCTCTGCAACCATGAGAGCCTTGTGTGCCCAAGAGGCTGCTGGCACCCGGGGCAGCCTGGACAGGCACCGATCAGGTAGGAGCCCCTGGTGTCCATCTGTCCTCACACAGGGCAGAGCAGAAGTGCAAGAAAGAGGAAGGCGGGGTTGAGTTAGCAGAGCAAGAAGCGAGGAGGCAGGAGGACAGGTGGACATCGCTGGAATCAGGTCTGCAACAGTCCCTTTCCTGCCCAGGTGGCCCTGATGGAGGGTTGGTGGCTGGTGACCCTGCCAGGCCCTCGGTATGTCCTTGTCTCCCATCTCCACACACTGAGTGCATGCTGATTTGGGGTCACACGGAGAGAGGACACCAGTACTCAAACCAGTGCCCGGGGAAGGGTGGGGACAGAGGCAGGCAGGCACCACATCGAGCCCCCCAAGGGCAAGAATCTTGAGGAATCTTGAGTCAGCTTCACAGATTACCAGTCTCTGCTATTCTTTACCTCTCCACGTCCGTCCGTCCTTTCTGCTCATGAGCTTTGGAAAACGATTCTAGAAACCACTTTCCCCACCCACGTCCTACCCTTTCCCACAGAAGCCGGCTCTGACCTCACCCCAGACACACCTAACCCATGACTCCTGGCTTTACCCTCTGCTCCTGTGAGCAGGTAATGCCTTGAGAAAGATCCTCCACTCCCCTCACCATTCCAAGGCAGAATGATCTAGAAAGCCCCAGAGACTCAACCTCCCGGGGAAGACCTGGGAGGTCAGGCAGGCTCAGTCAAGCTGGCTTCCTGACAGCTGCTGCTTTCACTCTGCGGCACGCTCTCTCCTGTTCTTCCTTCCCTGTGTACCTGGACCCATGTCCAGTGTGAAAACACACAAACACAACCATGCCTCTCCAACGAGATGCATGGTTGAGAAGATAAATCTGTTGCTGATTCAAACACCCTGGAGATTCCATTCTCTTCTGTCACTTCTCACAAGCCTACACCCATGTACACACCTCCCCTCAAACAGGTGTATACACACACGCGCGCGCGCACACACACACACACACACACACACACACACTCTGACCATCCCATTTTCTGACATTCTGCTGCACCAAGGAGGCTGTCATGAAGCATTTATCTCCCTCACTGTGGACTTCCCAATCCAACAGCGGCCCCTCGTTCGTTCATTTAAATCCTAAAGCAAACTCAGGGTGAAGAACCCCATTTGGGCGACCATGTCACGTGGGGACCCTCTAACGATATCGCAGTCTGGGTCTGAGCGTGTTGTCCAGGATAAAGACTTATTTCCCTGGATACACAACTCCAGCATGTCCCGGCTCTCTTCTTCAGACATTTAAAAACCAGCTAACCTCTACTTCTGGCCTTTCGGGAGCAAAAGGAGCGTTCATCACTGTTACTGAGTGGTATTCCCTAGGCAAGGCCTGGATGCAGGAGATGGCAGAATCGCACACGGCACTTTCTTCGGGGGGCTGAAGGTGACAGGGCTGTGGTCCCTGACCTGAGAGGCAGTGATTTGGAAAAGTGGACAAAAGTGGCCTCGGCTACAGGCCTGTGTATACATTCCCTCCAACTCCTTTTTGCTTCTTTTTCTTTTTTTTTTGGCAGTAAAAACTGACCAGTACTGCCCAGTGGCGGGGACAGGGGAGCGGTAAGGCGGGATGCTCTGGTCTCTGGGACTTTCACACAGGCAAGTATTGAGGCTTTGGCTGGCTCAGCCCCGAGGCAGGACAGGGAGAGGAGAGGCACTTCCCAGCCCCTGCAGACGGGCTGGGCTGGGCTGCAGGCAGGAGGCAGGCAGGCCAGGAATTCCACACTGAAGAACTGGACCTAAGAGACATGGCAGCAAACGGGCTGTCCTTCACAGCAAGGGCCCCGATGTTCCAGCTCCCAGGCTCCCTCTGAAGTGACCTCCAACATCCAGCTGGAGAAGACATTTGGATCCAACCCTCTAAAATGCATCTTCCGGGACACGCCCTGAGTCCATGTGCACACTAACAGGAGTAGCCTCAACTTC